ACTGGCACCATGTGCTCTCTAAAGAAACCAATACAAACGCCAAGGTGCACTGAAGCTGACTTCACCATCGCCCGCCAACAGAACCAAAAAAACACGCCCACCTGTCATCCCTCTTATACCCTCCCACACCTGTTCCTCCCCCCCATCCCACATTGGCCAGAACAGCGCGGCATTTTGCAGAAAACAGCGGTGACACACACAGTAAGTGGTAACCAATACATGCACAGCTTTCACAACAGTGTCAAACCCATTTGCACACAACAGAACACACAATATATTTTCACTTCCTTTATAAGAAGAGTCTGTATACATGGTACCAATCTAATGATCTGTCATCAGGGATTTAGTGAAATCTGCTGACATAACGTTTGATGTTTTTAATGGAATTAAAATCTGATTTCACAGCTTCCCATACTATCCTTTAATTGGATTATACATCCCTGTATTACATAAGTGAATGACTCAGTGGAGCAGTTATATCCCAGTACTGTTTGTAGCAGCACAGCTTAGCATCTGAAGAGTACAAAGACAAATACTGTGCTCAAACTGCACAAACAGGGGAGTAGCTCTGCTGAAATAAATGAGCTGCGTCAAGCCACATTTCTCCTGGAAAACATGACTGCCCACTGACTCAAAGCAATTTGTTAAACGACTTGTAACAGCAATGTATTTGTTTCCCATTTTCCAGTGGCAAACTCAGGAAAAGGGGTGGCATGGTCCCTGCTGGGACGTACTAAATGTACAAGAAAGATCTTATATATCCTATAAGGTTCTGACTGTGCCAGGGCTCCATCACCAAGATGAAAGATCAGACAGAGCCGCCCTGCAGTACATGTTTGGCTGAAGTCTGTATAATGTACTTTGCTGGAGCTCACCAGAGACACTGGAGTGCAGCTCCTCCCAGGCTTCTTCCTCCCCTTCGTCTTCTCTGTGCTCCTCCAGCCCCCAGGCACCCTGCTCCACCACCTTGTCAGCCTTATTTGCACAGGCCCGAGGCGAAGTCTGGGTCTCCACATAGTCCATTTCTTGCTCCACTCGCTCCACTCGGACTGCAGCTTCCGCAAGGTCCTTGATCAGCATGCTGTGCTCATTCTTCAGACTGTCCATGGCCTCAACCGTTAGCTTTTTGAAATCCTGCAGCTCTGTGTGGTAGCGATGGGACTGCTCATGCCAAAGCTGCATGTGATCCTACAGGGCGTGAGCAGAGCAAAATAAATTTTATAATGTACTGTAGGTTTTTACACAAGCTGTCTATTAGGGGAAAAACACCATCAGGCTCTACAGACACTGCAGTGGGTTGATTCACCACTGTAATGCTAAAATAACAACTACTGGATTGCTATGAACTTCTGTACAGACATTAACAGTCTGTAGAGGATGACCTTTGTTATCCCGACTTTTCCTTTAGTGCCTGTATGAGGTTGAATATTTTAGTTTTAATTTTCAAAAACTATTAGATAGGTTGCCATGAAACCTGGTTCAGATATTCATGCTCAGATTTTACTTTGTCCAGTACCACAATACCTGCAAAGCTAATAACATTTCCAGCCTCAGTGGTATTTAGTGCAAGTACCAAATACTAACATACTGCATGACATGATGCTGAACATATTGTTTAAACCATAATGAACAACAGCCAAGTGAGAAGACATGTTCTTGTCTGAGACATCAGGAGTTTCAGACACTGGTGGAAACTCCCACTGACTTTAGACGTTGCTGTTGGCAAACGCTGCTTACACACCATTACATGTATAATCCAATACAACACTAACACAATCAATTCAGCTAAATGTGTGTATTAAAGTGTTACACAGTTTGAATCTACACAGTTTCACTTGGTAATGAACTGCTGCAAATATGTAAACACAACAAAAAAGCTCATTATGGCAACTCATCTTTGAATACAAGGTTAGTACCAGGATTAACTACCTCAGAATGTGGGATAAGCAGTGTTGTGCTATTGGCCTATGTACAAAATGTCAATATTATTATTATAATTATTATTTTAAACTGTCACTATTACTGTAGGACTTCCTGGTGTCACGGAGCTGCTGTAGAATCTCTGACGTGTTGCCCGAGGTTTTAGACAAAGAACAAAAATGATCATCATTGTGGCATTTTACCAAAGCATGATTCTTTTTAAGTTGGGAAAATCTGATATATGAGGCTGATGCCATATTAGTTTTTAAGATATTAAATGGCATTACTCCAGTGGTACTCTCTAAATATGTGTGACTGCATCATACCATACAGGAAACGCACGTTTGGTCAGTCTGCTTTTTCTTATCATGCTTCACATGGCTGGACTATGTTACCCATGGACTTAAGAGACTTAACAACATATAGCATTTTCACAAAAAAACAAAGTGTCATCATGATATCTGATCTAAATGTCCTTGTACCTATCAGTAATGTACTTGTCTCTCTTGGGTGCAAGTATTTGTTGGTGAACATCGATGGTTTTATATTTCTGTGTATTTATTTATGTATTGCAATTTGTTTGTATTTTGCCTTTTAGAAATATTTTAGATCAATGTTTTGTATATGTTTTAATTGTATAACATCATCCTGCCCTGGGACTTAACAAATGAAAATTAGCCTTCTGGCTAAATCTGACACATTTACATCTTAGATGTTAATTCATGTGTATTTGTCCCTGACATATAAACTAATAAAGAAAGCATAATATATTCCAGACAGTAATATGTGCAATCAAAGCAGTATCAACATCACCAAACAGAATACAACACTGTATTTCTCAGTGTAGTGACAGACGCACTCAGAGTGACAGGTGAATTTTTCAGAGCAGAATGTAATAACTGACGGCTCCTCCACGGTTTCATTTTCTCCCGTTGCTCGCTGTGGGCCTATGGTCAAATGGAAATGAAAGTTCAATGAAAACCTGATGAATTGCTGTGCTCATATCAATGCAGATGTTGTGCCAGCATATTAG